ATTTTTTTCTTTTTTCTCTTTTCAAGGAACTTTTGCTGGATCATATTTTTGATAGACTCCGTAATCGTTTGGAGCATGTTCTTGAACGTATGCCCCTCGATCTGGATTTCCTAGAGTTTATCTGCACTCAAGAACTTGTTTTTTTAAATGCCTTATCTTGTCAGGTCGATGTTCCCCCAAATATTTTGGATGCGATGGCTCATTTGCACAGACTAATTAATGTACAAAAACAAAGTGAAGAACAACAAACAGCTGTTGTGCATTTTGAGCAAGGACCAGCTGGGCGACAACGGATGGTCATATCCTCATCAGACTACCTTTGTAGTCTTTTAGAACTCCATCTCCCTGTCCCATGCATCGCCAAACTCTTGGATATATCCAGACGGACTGTATATCGACGGATGGCAGTCTGGTCTTTCAGTGAGGGCATCATACACCACCATGTCAGATGATGACTTAGACCAATGTGTGAGAGACATTAAATCCAGGCAGCCTCACTCTGGGTACCGAATGGTAAAGGCCCTTCTGCAAGCCAGGGGACTGAGGGTGCAGTATGATAGAGTCAGAGCATCCATGCATCGCGTAGACACCATTGGAATGGCATCACGTATGGTCCAGCTAGGATGCATAGCTCGACGGACATACTCAGTTCCTGGCCCTCAGTCTTTGATGCACATTGATACCAACCACAAATTAATACGGTAAATCATTTATCTTCTAACTTTGAAGTATGCTTGTTAAATATATTCAACTCATGTAGCATTTTTTTAATTTCACAGCATGCCACATACCTTTTGGAAATAAAAGCAGCTTTTTTCAGTATTATATACAGTGGTGTATAAAGTATGTCCACAATGGCCAATGTCCGGCATGTTCTGCTTCAACATAGCCAAACACAAGCAGTACCTGATCTGCCTCTGCAGAGACCTTGCTTCAAATTAAATTAAAATAAAAACATCCCTTATTCCAAAGGGAAATTAAATGTTGTAACTCATTAATTTAGGTTATTCAAAGAGTTATTGCAGATGGTGATGGCTGATGGCAGGAAAGATCTCTTGTAGTGTTCTGTATAACAGTCAATCTAAAGAAGCCTTTCACTGAAAATACTCTGTTTTCTTAAGACATTCTCATGAAGTTGTTGTCAGGGACAGGGTTGTCCAGTATTTTATTATGAAGAATTCTTCTTTGCATAAGCATCTTCAGAGGTTCCACATTCGTCCCCAGAACAGAACCAGCCTTCTTTGTCAGACTGCTGAGCCTTTTTATGTCTCTGGTTCTGATGCTGCTGCCCAACAGGTGATGGCAGAAGAGATGATGTGCTCAACAACAGACCTTGAAGGAACTTAGCTTCCTCAGGAAGTCCAGTTTGCTCTGTCCCTTCTTACAAACATGCATGATCTAAAAGAAACAAGCCTTTTTGGTGACAATATTTAATGGTAATGATATTTTCTGTTGTTTTTTTTTTTTAGGTACAACATTGTTATCTTTGGTGGCATCGATGGTTTTTCTCGAAAGGTGCAGTATCTTCTACAAATGCATATAAAGGCATAATTTTATAAGCTTTGAAATGTACTATTATATTCTTGCTGTGCTGTGAAGATAATGTATCTTAATTGGGACAGCTCTCAACAACCTGGCATCTACCACACTGGCTTTCTTTCAGGGTTCAGTGGAGGAGTTTGGTTTCCCACTCAGGTAAAGGTTTACAGTCCATCTTACTCCTTTTGAGCCAAGGAAGAAAGACTAAAAGTCAGCATCAACTAACTTTTCTCCAAAACATAGGAGCTTGTTTTATATCAATAGGTTTTGAGTAATGATGAAAAAGTTAAACCTTACCATAGAATAAGACATTTTCCAATATTATAACTTAACATTTTGGAATAATATCTAGTTCCACTGTCAGATTANCTTCATCACAGTCTCCCATCCTGAGCAAATGGTGGAGAGGAGAAACTCCCTGCTAATCAGGAAGAAACCTCCAGCAGAACCAGGCTCAGGACTGGCGGCCATCTGCCTCGACCGGCTGGGTTAGGGGACAGGAAAGAGACACAGGCAAAAACAGAAGAACTGGTCCGGGACTGGTCCAGGTACATCTTCTTCTGGAAGACAAAGAAAAAACATGATATAAATAATTACAGTAAACATGTAGAGAAGAGAGACTAAAGACAACAGCAGAGTGAAAAAATGTGCTCAGTTTGTGCTCCAGCAGTCTAAGTCTAAAGCAGCCGAAATGAAGAGCCACAGGAAGCAGCGATTATTAAAGATAGTCAAATGGACAAAAACACGTGGATGGAGATTWAAAAAAAAGTATTTTGCACGGTGGAATCTAACTGATAAAAACTTTGGAGCTTTAACCGCAACAGATTTCCAACAGATTTTATCAAATTTCCCTCTGGGATCAATAAAGTATTTTTGAATTTGAATTGAATTTGTGGGTAAATAACATCAGGTGATGAGTCTCTGACTTTTTTTCCCCACATTATGGACTTCAGTGGGAGGAACTCCCCTGTAGTGACGTATGCTGCAGTGGGAGGGGTTTCCTCAGGAGCTCGGCACGGGGTGTCTAAGGGACCATGAAAGGTGTGTGCGAAAATGAACACCGAAAAACCATGTGACTGCGCATCGACTGTTCGGATTCAGATGGAGTATGCAGAGGCCTTCACATCAGGGCTCAGAAGGTCACTCCAGAACAGTCCAATGTTTGGTTCTGATTTARTCTGGGTGTTTTTGGCTGTTTGTTTTGTGCCATGGTCCTGTTGAAGACCCATGAGCTGCGACTGAGACCAAGCTTTCTGATACTGGGCAGCACTTTTCTTTCTAGAATCCTTGATAGTCTTGAAATTTGATTGTACTGATGGGTATTTTAACGATACACCTTAAATAAAGAGAACCAGAGGCAAAGGTATAAGTTTTCAAACAACTCTTTTGCAAAAGGAGAAGTTGAGAGAGCTCAGTTGTTCTGACAAGTCCTCACAAGTTCTGAAACTCTTCAACGCAGTGTGTCTCTTTTTATTAGCAAGCGTGATGTGGAAAAGAAAAAAAACAGTAGGTTTCAAAATTGCAAACTCTCAAAAACTCTAATTTTTCTCAGCGTCAGAATGCTCCAGAGAACATTCCATACGGTGACTCCCTTCTCCTCCCAGAGTTTTGGTGAGACTTGGAGATCAGCAATAAATATGAAGAGCATCTGAGTGAAACATAAAAATGTAAGGCTAAAAATGTAAAAACTCTAACAGTACCCTGCCAGATGCAGCAAAGCAGCCCCAGAACATAACAAAGCCTCCTCCATCTTTCACAGTAGGAACAGGGTACCAAGGTCTCTTCTACATGATATCTGCATTCCAGATGCCTGAAAATGTGTTCTGAGTAGTCATATTAGTTATTTAATACAGCGGGTAAAATAAGTATTGAACACGTCACCATTTTTCTCAGTAAATATATTACTAGAGGTGCTAATGAC